GGGGTCTCGCGGCATGTGATTTCTCTGCTCTAAGATGGCTGCTCTCCTTCCAATTGAGCCTGAAATAGGGCTAGGTAACGAGTGCGTCTCCTAGCTAGACTCTCCAGGAAGTGTTCCTATGTAAACTGTAGTTTGCAAACCATGTTGATCTTCCTAGATTGTTAGCGGTATTTGCACAGTTGGGAGATGAAAAGCATTATGGGAAATGTCTGAATGAACGCGATTAGATGAAACGTGACAAGTGCGGTACTGATAGCAATATCATGATGTGGTGATCCAAATTGATCTCCGCTTCTCAAAATCTGCAGCTTCAAGAACGCATCCTTGATCTGGAGAAGGAGCGAGATCTGCTCAAGGAGAATTGTGATAAACTATTCAGCAGGTGAGGGGGTCTGGGTTCGCATGTGGAATCAGATGTCTGCCTTGCTTTTCAATGCTGTTAAACATGGTAGACCTCCTTGACGTTCCAGAAAATGAACAGAACCTGATTTAAACGACACAATAAATGATATACTTGCGTTTTATGTTTAGCACAATCTTTACAGTCCCTGCTAACAATTAAATTCCTTCTCATCTGCTATCCAAGCTCTCTTATGCTGACTCATGTGTAACATCGTAACAATAGACATTAAATTTAACAGTTTAATTGGCTGCACTCAGAAAGACAGAGTCTGCTTTGTTTGTATGGCGGGCTAGCCAATTACCAGGCTGCCAGTCGGCCCGGGTGCATGTGTGTGCGCGTCTGCTGCCCCCACTCCAGCTGTCTCGCCCGCTGCCACCCTACATGCTTCCCAGGGGTCACATGGGAGGCTGTCCTCCCCTGCTTTGGGGGGACGTGCCCAGCAATGGTTTTGTCAGCAGCCTGTTTGCTTGGGTTTGTTTGGACCTGCACTCCCTGCTGGGATATGTAACCGAATTCCATACACCCCCCCCCCTCCCACAGTTTTCTTCCCCCGCCAGAATCCTTGGCTACGAAGCTTGAAATTAAGGCCAGTCGTCGTGCCTGTCCCACAGAGGCTTTCATGTTCCCAAACCGCAGCCTGAGCGAGGCGCCTTGGTCGCAGCGGCAGCAGACCAGCATTTGTTTGCCTAATTCCTTAGACATGATGACAGTGGTTCCTGAGCCACAAGAAGCCCCCCGCCCACGCCCCTACCCCAAATTATGACTCCAGCTTCGATAGCTTCCAATAGTCGCGCACCGCGTGCGTCTTCATTACCCGTGTTTGTGTTTAACCCTGTCCGCCGGTTCCCGCAGCGCCTTTGACGTGACCCAGGAGCAGAAGTGGAAAACCCGAGAGCAGCAGTTGAAGCTGCAGATCGTGCAGCTCGAGGTGGCCCTCAAGGCTGACCTCGCCGACAAGAATGAGATCCTGGACAAGATCAAGCTAGAGCGTGGTGATTACTCCCGGTTCCCCCATTCTGGTCATGTAATGCGATACCTCCCATAATACAGCATTAGGCAGCTGGCCACACCCCCAGTAGATATTCATGCTGCCACCTGGAGCAAAATTATGCTTTTCTGGCCTCTGGGCAGGACGGACGGTTCTGCTGTTGCAGGAAGTGTCCTGAGACAAGAACTTCCCATAAATGTCTACTGTTGCTTTTTTTGTATGCTAAACCCCTTGTTTTCGGAGTACTCGAGCCAACAATCACAGCCACCGTAAGCGAGCTGGAATCGAGTGATGGAGCTGGCAGCAGGGAGGCACTGCAGCTATCAGCCTCTGTGTGTTTTATGGGCTACGCTACACAGAACAAAGAGGTTAAATAACAAAAATCCAACATTCCCAATCACATCCTTGCCGCAAAGTTTATCGTTGCTATACTCAGAATTTCTTTTCCTATGATGTGGTCTGGGGAGAATAACCAATGTTTGATTCTTATTCCTGTCCGTCAACAACAAGAGCTTGTTCATTTAGGTTAAATAAACTGTTGAGGTCAAGTGGTCAAGCAAATGCCATACCAGGCTAACCAAAGTAAGGCTGGTTTCCATAAATCTCTCGTAGATTGACTGGCGTGGGCTGAAATGGCCTGAGATATTCTTCAGGAAGCTACACGTAGGTGACCGTGTTGTCATGGAACCTGCGTCTTGATTTCGGGTTCAAATCAATACCCAGTTGTTTATCCCGCTGTCTTGTTAGACCCGTCCCACTGCTGAATTCACTCATGGTTTTACACTCCATCCAACCTCCCATTTTCTCGCTTTTTCTCTGCTCGCTAATTTTCTCAGGCGACGTTTCATGGTCAGCCTTTGTGAAAATACACAATCATGGATTTGTGGGAACCACACTACTACAGTGCTGTAGTTTATTTTGGGAATGTCAGATGGAGAAAAGATTTGTTTGGTTGGGCAAGACCATGAAAAAGATATTTTACATTTATTGTCAGTGTATGTTCACAGTGTTTTGTAAGAGTTATAATTTTTTTTTCCTGTGCTCCTTTATGATGTTTTGTGGTACTTCTCTATCTGAGACAAATCTCAACGTTAAATGCCAGTTTAAACAGCCTTCTATATTTCAAATCCAGCTCCATATCTTGCTTATTTTTTGTTTAACGCTTACTTTTTGCCATAACGCTGAAGAGTCAGGCCATATTGGTCTTAAATTTAAGTCAGCCATGGTATTATTTTGGATTCTGTGTCAGGAGTCTTGTATGCTATAATACCCTCTGACGTTTTCAGTGAGTATAATGGTCTGGTCCATATATTAAGTCTGTTTATGTTATTGGTTTTGCAATTTCTGTTTGTTTATATATATTGTTTATATTTATAAATTATAAATATGCTCCACACACCTTAGTGTTAGAGAAAATATTCTGAAGAGTAAAGAGTGTTTTGAATTAATATCAGTAATTTATATAAGAGCCAGAGTTAATTATCTGTACATGCTAAGGGGGTTTTGGGATTAATACGATTTTCTGGCACCCGTTAAGGTCAGAGTCCATCCATGGCCCAGATACCCACCGGTAACGATGTTTCACATTGACAGCCTGCATGTTTGCCAAAATGACACTCATGCTTGCTGATGCTTCCCTAGAAATGACCCAACTGCTGAGCAAAAATGGGGAACTAATCTGTTCTTGGAGTTCCAAGATGTTTGAGCCGAGATAGAAAGCATTTGCTTCAATCAAACGTCAGGGGGATGCTAAGAGAGGCACCCAGGCCGTAAACATGCAGGCTGTTACCTGGTGTGTTTATTTCAGAGCAAAATGAGCGGCTGTCGCAGGAGAACCAGGAACTCCAGCTTCGATTTCTTGAGCAGAAACAGCAGGTGGATGAAATGAAAGATCGTGTTAAGTTCTTTTCCAAGGTAAAAAAAAAAAAAACATACAGCTGTTATTGTAGTTCAACCTACATTTATTTATTTAATTATCCATTTGTGCATTTATTTATTTGCCTTTGTGAGTTATTTTAATGTTTAGAGGAGTGTTATAAAAAGTTGGAGAGACTGACAGAGCATAGCTCTGTGCTGACATTTAGGTATTTATGACATTCCAGGAGTTGGTGTAATGTGCCAGAATTTCATTTTTCACATGAAGAGACACTCAGTCTTTACTCGCCGTGTTTAATTTCAGGAGAGTGACACTGACATAGCCGAGCTCAGCGAAGCATTGTTGCTTATAAAGGTAAGTGCTTGGGAGTCCATCTCTTTCATAGAGACTCTCTCCTAAACGGTTACGCCTTGGAATGAGAGCAATTTGCATCACTACCATGTGCCCTCAAATGCCAGGTGCTGCACATGTGCAAATGTCAGGTTAGTAAGATGGTACACGGCTTTCGTGTTTTTGGAAAACATTAGTGTTATTTCAGGCAAAGTATTTTTGTTTGATTTATTGGAAAGTGTTTTCTGATTGCTCATGAGGGAAGCCTGGAAAAATATCAAGCATGGCACAAGGTTTGCGCAGATAAAACATTGGGAGGCTACTTGTTATTTAAGCTCCTTAGCGACTACGTAATGGGAGCAGGCCAGAATGGAGGACCCCTGTAGATACTGTGACAGTAATCGTTATTTCTGAAAATGTCTGTCCTGGTTGCCGGGTGCCTTCCATTTCAGGGGCAATCTGCCAGACTTGTTCCATTTCACATAAGCTTTATAATAGATTATTTTCTATTTGAACATTTGCTGTTCTCATGTTTGTGGAAATGCTAAACTACTCGCATGATTATGTTCCTCTAAAGTAAGTCTGCAATCTATGTAGAGCTTGACAGAGTTTGACTGAGTTTGGGTGTGGACATTAAAATGTGTGAACTCGAGTGTTTAGGTTTAACTCAGGAAAACCACCAAGCCAGGGGCGTAATTCACTCATTGTGTGATATATGATTAAAGTGGTTTTTAGTAAGTGCTCATACGTGCCTGTGCCTCGCAGTCTATGTTGTGTAAACAACGTAGACTGCGGCAGGTTAATGCCAACACCGTTCTCCAACAGGCCCGTAAGAGCCAGAGGAATGGGGAGCTAAGCTTCCTGCAGCAGGTGGACGAGGACGTGCAGCGAGACCTGGGCCGCTCCCTGGCGGAGCTGCAGGCCGCGCATGCCGAGACAGTGCAGGAGCTGGAGAAGACGCGCAGCATGCTCATCCTGCAGCACAAGATCAACAGGGACTACCAGGTAGCGTGGGGCTCGGTGCGTGGGGCACTAGGGCTCTCACTCTGGGTAGCCTGGAACACTGACATCAGGACTGATCACTTAACTCAGCCATCGGGGTTGTCATACGTTAATATCTGTGGGAGGGGATGAGCTCATTACATCCAATCGAATTTACCAGCTATTTACAGCCCTTGTCATTTTTAATGAAGTAGCCATACAGAGTATGTATGAGCTCTTTTTCTGTAGGACTCCTTGCTAAGCAAGAGGAGATAAAAACGTGAATTGTTCAGTGTGGAGGTATTTGCAGTCTTAGAACAGGTTAAATGAGGAGCAACACGTTGAATTCCGTTGTTGGAATTCAGGTGGATAATTGGTCTTCAAAAACTGGACATGCATCATGCAGAAGGTTACAGGCAGGAGGAGAGTACCAGATACATCTGATTGTCAACGTGATGGCGGCACAGAACAAAAATTGTATGTGATGCATTTACACAACAGCAAGATGCAGCACTAGACTTAATTCCAGGGAGAACGGCGAGTGCGT